TTTGAATCTCAAGGATGCAGCCTCTGAGGGGCTTCAGTTTAGAAACCATTGAGAAATAGTCCCCTGAGCCAGACAGATGGAAATAAAAATGTTTTAAAGAAAATTTAAAGTAATTTATTATAGAGCATTTGCAGCATAGAGATAAATTAGTCAATGATACCCATGTAGTCAGCAGCTCTTAAAAAAATTAATACAACCAGGGCTGGGGCTGTATGTAGCTCAGGGGTAGAGCGCTTGCCTTGCATGTGTGAGGTACTAGGTTCAATTCTCAGCACTACATAAAAATAAATACAATTTTAAAAAGAAAAAAATAAATGTTTAATAAATAAATAAAACCTCACCAGCACAGTCAGAGCCTTGTTGGGTTGCCTTCCATCTCCTTTCCAGTTGCCTCCCCTCCTTCCCCATCTAGACTGACCACTGTGTGGTCACACTGTGTGTGATGATTTCATTTCTATGCATAGCTCAAGAAGTTGCCTCCAGCTTCCTTGTGAGGGGTCAGGCCACCACTCCAGTGGGATCAGTGTACACATGGGAGCACCAGGGGTGTCACTTGCCTGTGGTCACATGGCCAAGATACAGCCTGAGGCTGAAACTCAGTTCCTTGGGACTCCAGAGGCATCCTTGTGCACAGATGGCCAGGCCTTCTTGAGGGGGAAGGGGGAAGAGCCCTGCTTTGGGACATAGGAGGTGGCCCAATTTGGGCTTCATGTCATCTGAACTTCCAAACCAGGGTTCCTCTGTGTGGTTACTTCTTTTGTCATAAAATGCAGAAAAATACATGGAAGATACTTTCTACAGTGCAGTAGAACCAGTGGTTGTAAAGCAGGTCCCAGTGTGACCACAGGGGAACATTGTCACCTCCCAGAGTTTCCCTAAGGCCCTGCCTTTGTGGCATTTGTTGACATTTGTTTCTCCTTGATTTTTTTGCAGAGGAGAAAGACATTCTTAAACAGCAAACAGCATGGCCTGTCCTGTTTCCATCTAGCTGTGAATGGACTCTCACTGGCTGTGTTACTTTGTGTCTGATTTCTTCTACTCTGTCTAATTCTGTTATGCCTCCTCCCTGTGGCGTGAGTGGTGTTCTGTAAATATTAATTCACTCGTTGATTTATCCAATCTCTTGTGGGTGGAATCCTGGCAATCACTAGGAATATTGCTCCTGTGAACCTTCTTCTATGTGTTTTTTGGTGAGCAAATGTATTAATTTCTTCTGGGGGACTGGAATTGCTGGGTTATGGGGTAGGCGTGTGTGTGTATTTTGTTGTTGTTTTGAGATGGGGTCTTACTGTGTTGCCCAGGCTAGTCTCCCACACCAAGGGGTCCTTCTGCTTCAGGCTCCTGAGTGCTGAGACGATAGGTGCATCCCACCATACCTGGTGAGATTTTAATTCTTACTGCCAAACACTTTTCCACAGTGGTTGGGCCATTTTGTACTCCTCCAGTAGTGCATAGAATCGTGATTCCTCATATCCCTGCTGATGCTTAGTGTTGTCAGTTTTTTTAATTTCAGCATCCCAGACAGAGTTATGTCCCCATAACTAATGAGGTTGTGCTTGTTCCCTATTCATCTGGGTGTCCTGTGAGTTCCCTTTCTCTTTTTGCCTTGCTTCCCAGGTGGCTCACCTCTGGTCAACAGCTGTAGCCCTGGCCAGAACCCTCAGCACACTCATGCATGGGCGTCCTAGGAAGTGGTGAGTGGGGAAGAGCCATACAGGCTCCCTGCAGAGGGGGTGCTGCCTGCCGAGTGGCCAGCGCAGAGCCCTGCGTGCTGCCTGGGTTCCCTCCTGCCTGCGTCCTAGGCCTGCACTCCCTGGTGAGCAGGCTGTCCTCTTGGCCATGCCGCCTGGTGTTTCATCACCACAGGACTGCGTCACAGACACCTCAGCCGAGGCGCCACCCTCAGTGGGAGGACGGGGCAGGATCCAGGCGGGACACAGGGGATCTTCCAATTCCTCCCCCTGTTCTCGCCTGAGCTGCCGCTGGCTTTTTAGTTGCTGAAACAAGACCATAAAACGTGACTGTGGCGTGCTGAGCCGCTGCCAGGCCTCCACCACTCAGCTGGGAGACTCGAGGTAAATGGCTTCCCCTCTCTGAGCCTCTGTCCTTGCCTGGGCACAGTTATAGCCCCTCTGGTGGGGTGTTACGAGCACTCAGGAGAGGCTCTACAGGAGTGCTGGCACTCTGCCCAAGGCCACCCAGCTGGGATGGCTCGTGGACTCTGGAACCCTGACCACTCTCGGTCACACCTGACTGCCTTCACTTTTGAATAATGGCAGCCATGTATTTGGCTTTACCAGGTCCAGATAGTGGGTTGAACCCTCTTCCCACAGTAGGTGCCTGAGTGCTACTCTGGAGCCTTGTGCTACTGGGTTGCAGAGGCTCCGAGAGGTGATGTTGTTGGGCCGCCAAGAGGAGCCGAGGCTGGACCTGGGACCCCTGTTCTCTTTCTTCCTCAACTGAGTTCTCCATCTCAGCTCTTTGGGAAGTGAACTCAGCAGGGAGAAGTGTGGTGTCCACCTCAGCTCCCCGCCACACCTCGGAATACCTCGAATGTTTTCTCCTGGCTTTGCCCGCACCAGCTCCTTCCTGCCTTGGGGACTTTGCATTCACTATTCCTCTGCCTGAAATGCTTTTCCCTGTACCTCTGCACTCCTCACTCCTTGGTCCCTCAAGGTGTCTGCTCATGGGTCCTCTACGCTGTGCGGCTCCCACAGCACCCCACTCCCTGCCTGTCTTTCTCTTTACTTTGTTTTCCCTCTCAGTGCCTTTTTGCCAAAGCTGACATGGTTCTGAATGTGCGTGGTTCTGCCTTCTCCCCAGAATGTGAGCTTCATAAGACAGGGCAAGGGCTGTATCTTAGTGATGCTCTATCTAGCACCCAGGACAGTGTCTGAAGCTTTAGGATACACTCAGAAAGACTGGTGGAATGAGTAGAATGCAGAGGTTTCTGCAGCGATCTCTGATTTGGGCTGCTGCCTTGGGAGCTGTGATTCATTTATCATGTTCAGCTGGTATTGGTGCTATGCTGGACACTGAATCAGCTTTGACAGGGGTGGGGAGAATTGCCAGAGGTGGGTGCACAGAGCACTGGGAGGCTTCCTGGAGGAGTCACTTTTTGACTGAGACCTCACGGTGGAGGGAGAAGGCATAGGGGATATAGTCTAGGTGACAGATGCCTGATTTTTTTTGGGGGGGGGGTGGGTAGCAAGACATGTTAATGACCATTGTCATTGTCTTAGCCTTTGCTTTCTGGATGTGTGTCTCAGCTCCCACGGGGCCTCCTCAGTACAGCACGGACTTTGTTCTTGTTCTGAGCACATTGGGGAGCTGTGGAAGGGTTTTGAGTGAGGAGAGGGACAAGGTCCATTTAAAATGGAGCTGTAGGGATGAGAGCAGAGGCTGTGAGCCCAGGGAGGAGGCCAGGGCTGGAGGAGGGGGCTGTGGGGACTGGGCCGGTGCTCGGGCGGGAGGCGTGCAGGGTGAGTGCGCAGGAGGCAGCAGGGATGAAGGGCGGCAGAGCGGGTTCTGAAAGGCTTTGGATATCAAGCTGAGGAGTTTGACTTTTTTGCCAAGGACAATGAAGGGCCACAGAAGGATTCTGAGCAGGGAAAGAACAGAGTCAAATTTGAGAGTCCTTTAGCTGCTGAACAGGGGATAGGATACTGGGGGAGTCCAGGGAGGAGGTAGAGCGTGATCCCACTAGCCAGGCCATAAACTGGGAAGGGAACGGGAGGCATGGGGCCAGGCAGTCACATTGCAGATTGACATTGTGGGGAGAGAGTGGAGGGTTCTAGCTGGCCTGTATTCAGGGTCTGAGGTGCCATGTCTGCTTACAAGGAGGCCCTTATTGCTATTCCCAGCCCAGAATCGTTGCCTTTGAATCTTAGGAGTCCAAAATGTGATTTTCACTGTCCTGTTTATGTCCCTGTCGCTGTCCATCTTGCCTTTCCTCCTGCTTCCTCCCACTTACCTCCCTTCCTTCTGCCCAGGGCCTGGGCAGCCTGCCACTGTCACATGCCAGGCAGTAGCGTATCCGGCCCACCAGCTCCCCTGGGGCACGAGAGAAAGCTGATGCCCATGGTGTCCCTAGAGCCAGCTGACACTTCTCTGGGGGCCACCGTAGCTTCTGACCTGCTGTCCGCAAATAACCTCAGGCCAGGAAAGGCAAAAGGCGCCTTGAGCTTCGTGGCTCCAGTCCAGGCCCCTGGCTCCAGGTAGGGCCCAGCTGGCAGCTCCTTGCACCCTTCTGCACTCGGCTTTGGGAACCTGAGACGAGGCAGCAGCCTCGGCGTCCATCAGTCTGTCGGCTGCTGGTCCCTGAGGACAGAAGCAGAGGTCTTGGGGAAGGGACCAGAACTGACTCCTAGGCCCAGACAAGCGCATACACAGTAGGTTGCTTGTTCAGGACCCCAGAATGCCACGCTTGTCTTTTAGTCCTCTTGGTGGGAGCAGGGAGGGAACTGAGGCTGAGAGAGTGGCTTGGGGTAGTCCAGCATGGAGTGGATGGACATTTATTTTGCTGAAGGTGATAGGTTGGTGGTTCTCTGGTTTGGAAAAGAGAGAATGGGAATGAGAGAGAGAGAGTGTGTGTGTGGATATATGTGTTGTGGGGCAGGCAGATGCTGATGGCTGTGAGCACACCTTCCGCTTGGTGCCCAGGGCTGTGTGATTCACTCTGGGTTACCTCAGTACTGGGCATGGGAGTGATGCACCGGGCAGAGCCATAGCTACCTCAGTGACCGCCCAGCCAGCAGGAAGGGTGCAGGAGGGGCCTGAGTGCAGAGGCCTGGCCACACATAGGATTGGGGTCTCCGGAGACCTGGTTATGTCTCTGCTAAGTCTGGGCCCTCAAGGGCAGGGCTGTCCCCCATCTTCACTGGCTATACCTGGTGCACAGCAGGCCAAGTTGCCAGAGGGCCTCAGAGTCTTGAGTGTCCTGAGGGAAGGGGCTGGGGCGGAATTTCTCCCACTCTGACATGCTCCTTCTTGTCTTCCAGACTATATCCACAGCACCTCCTGCATGTCCTGCTGCCCTGAGCTGTCCCAAGCTAGGTGACAGCGTGTCACGCTGCCACCATGAATGAAGTGTCTGTCATCAAAGAAGGCTGGCTGCACAAACGTGGTAAGGGGTGGCTTTTGCCCATTTGATAATGTGTCTTCCCCACCTATCCTGACTCTTTTGGCATCTGGCACCCTGAGAGGTGGAAGCGTAGGGTGATTACTGACCCAAGGAGTTAGTGTTTGTAGCCTCCATGCCACTAGCTACGTGCATACCACTTCATGGAATCCTTCAGGGTCCCTGGGAAGGGAGCTGAGGATCTACTGGGGCTGAGTGTCCAGGCTTAGCTGGACACCCTGGATGAGCCACAGACCAGGCCTCAGGCTCTGCCTTGCATCAGCGATCTTGTTCATAACCCCTTTTTGTTTATTTATTTATTTATTTACTTATTTATTTATAAATTTTGAGACAGGGTCTTGTTAAGTTGCTGAAGGTCTCACATAATTGCTGAGGCTGGCCTTGAACTTGTAGTTCTCCTGCCTCAGCCTCCTGATTTGCTGGGATTACCTGAATGCACCACTGCTCCTAGCCTCATTTAATAGGTGTGGAAAGGAAGTCACTTAATTGAGGGCAGTATTCAACATTTATTCAGCAAATATTCGTTGACATTGTCCCAGGCTTTGGGACACAGTGGCATCCTCATAGAATTCACATTCCAGTAGGGAATGGGGACAAACAACAAATGAGTAGACATGTGATAGTGATAAGTGCTGTTATGAAAAAAACGTAGAAACTCTGAGGAGCAAGGGGCCAGGGAGATGGGCAAGGCAAAGGAGGCTGCTTTGAGGAACCCTGGAGAAGGTGCAGGAGTGAGCCACACAGATAGCTGAGCAAGGGCGTCCCAGGGGGAGGGACAGCAAGGTCAGGGCTCTAACATGGAGGTGATGCCTATTGCGTTGTGTTTTTGCAGTGCTGGGGATGGACCCAAAGCCTTATGCACATAGGCAGGTACTCTCTCTTAAGGTGCCATACAGCCAGCCCATGCCCATTGTTTTCTAGGAAAAGCATGACTGGAGCGCAGTGAGCAGGGTGAAGTGGAGGAGAGAGGAGTGACATAGCTCCCACCATGTTGGGCCCTATAGGCCACAGAAGGGACCTTGGCTTTAACTTTGGACAGTAGGAAGCCCTGAGTATTGTGACCCATGGTGTGACCTGATGCAGTGTACTGATGGGAAGTTGAGGCGCTAGTGAAGTCATGGGTGGGGAAGAGACTAGACCTTGAGACTCCCAAAGTTGCCTGTTCCCTGGGCCAGCCACCAGGTGACCCTGGGATACAGGCAGGAAGAAGCACATGCTATGAAATGGCTTTGTCCATAGCTGAATTTTTAGTAGCTGTTCTACTTCACTTCACTTTCTTTTTCTTTTCTTTTCTTTTTTTTTTTTTTTTTTTGGTGTGTGTGTGTGTATTTGGTGGTGGTGCTGGGATTTGAACCTAGAGCCTCATGCATGTTGGGCAAACACTTTACCACTGAGCTATCTCCTTAGCCCCTCCCTCTACTTGCACTTTCATCCATTCAGCAAGCATTTATTGATGGATCAGTCCCGGTGGTTCAGGTACAGTCCCTGTGGATCAGTCCCTGTGGTTCGGGTGCCAGGGTTATAGCAAAATCCTGTACTTGTGATGATATCTTACATTCTGGGTGGGAGGCAGGTAGCACCCAGGCTGATGTGAGTATGCTGTCGTGGTACATGCTGTGGAGTAGAACCAGACAATGAGAGAAGGATGGGGTGTGAGGTGGGCAGGAACTTGGAGACCCATCTTAATTTCAGTGGTTAGGAGGAGGTCTTCACTAAGAAGAGGATGTCTAAACGGAGACCTGAAGGAGCCAGACTTGGTGGTGCACACCTGTAACTCTAACTGTTTGGGTGGCTGAGGCCAGCCTGGGCAATTTAGCAAGACCCTGTCTCAAAGTGAAAAAGAAAAAGAGGTAGGGATGTAGCTCAGTGGCAGGGTACCTCAGGGCTCAATTCACAGTAACCAGGGAAAAAAGACCTGGGGGAGGCAGAAGAGGGCATCACAGCTCACTGGGTCAGGGGCACATGGACAGAGGGGATGGCCAGCGAGTCCTGAGGTGGGTGAGCAGGTGATTGATGGGATTGACCCTGTGGAACCAGGAGAAGAGAACCATTCTGCCCTGTCCCAGTCCACAGACACCAGACAGTGATGTGAGACAGAGGCCACTGCCAGGCAAGGACTCCCCATCAGAATGAGCAGAAGGACCCATTTCCTGCTGCCCTGTCCAAGCAGGGGCAGCATTCACGGCACCTCAGCCCAGCCCCTACAGACAACCCTGAATTTGGGTCTGTTAGTGGAACTTTGCAAAATTTGACAGGTGGTGATGGTGGGCAAGCTGTGTCATTTGACTGAGCCTTCATTTTACATCTGTATCTTAGGTTAACAGCCCAGGCCTCTGTGACCATGAGGGCAGGGATTTCCACGTGACTTGTTCACTGATGTGTCCTCATCACCTCAAAAAGTGCTTGTCATACAGTAGGCAGTCAATAAATGATAGTTGGATGAACAACTGGAATTGTGTGTGGTGCGAATGTCCTAGAGTGTGTGAGGGTCTTAGGTCTGTCCCTCAACTCAAGCTTCCTGAGGCCCATGGCTCACTGGGCTCAAGTGCCAGGAATCCTGGAGGTAATTGGAGAACTGTCAAAGGCTGGGGAGTTTATCTCTGGCCTGGGGACTTAGCTGATGGCATTAAGTGGGTCTCAGTCCCTGTTAGGGCATCACTGTCCCCATTCATGCTGCGAGACCAGATGAGTGGTCCACAGTCCTGTCCCTGTCTGCTGAGTTGGCCCAACTTGGACATACCTGCCTTGAGTTAGCACAACACACGTGTACACACCTGTGCTCGTGTACTTCCAGGCCTCCCTGGTGCCTGTCATTGAGGCAGCTGTTGTCTTAGCATCTCTGCTCCAACCCTTGCTGGCTAAAATAATTGCTGTACTGTTTTTTGGAGTGTCCACCCTGCCAGGCTCTGGACTTTGCCCCAGACAAGCCCAGTGTTGATTTTTTTTCGGTGTGGTGGGGAGGAAGTTTCCTGGGGATTAAACTCAGGGGCACTCATCCACTGAGCTACACCCTCAGCCCTTTTTTGTATTTTATTTAGAGACAGGGTCTCACTGARTGGCTTAGCACCTGGCTTTTGCTGAGGCTGGCTTTGAACTTGCGATCCTCCTTCTTAGCCTCCTAAGCCACTGGGATTACAGGCATGCACCACTGTGTCCGGCCCCAGTGTTGAATTTTCATAGATGCCCTGTAAGGTGACTACCATCTTACTAGCAGCAAGAGTGATCACCCAGAGTTTTAGTGCAGAGTGTGAGGTTGAATCAGGCCTCCTGGCTGCTGAATGAATGAATGTCCTCAAAGTCTAGTCTCTGTGCTGCCTCTTGTTCAGCAAGGTCTAAGAATGTGGAGTCCCTTGTGCTACGTGTGGGTCCTGCTTGTGGCACGGCCTTAGTACACCACCACCATCATTAGCAGAGTGCCTACCCTCTGCCAGGCTCCGTACAAGGCCAACTTAGTGGTCAGGAGTGCTAGCTCTTATAGGACAGCTGTGAACCTTGACAAGGCTGCCTGTGCCTCAGGTTCCCCATACAAAATGGGGGATAAGATCACAAGACTCCTTTTTTCTTTAATTATAGGTTTCTTGATATCCAAGACAAGTTCTGGATCATTACCTCACCCCTGTGCCAGCGTGCGTGCAATAAAGAAATAGAGCTGGGTACAGTGTCACATGCCTATAATCCCAGTAACTTGGAAGACTGAGGCAGGAGGATTGCAAGTTTGAGACCAGCCTCAGTAATTTAGCAAGGACCCAGGCAATTTAGTAAGACCCTGTCTCAAAAAATAAAAAGGGCTGGCAATGCGGCTCAGTGGTAAAGTCCCTCTGGTTCAATCCCTAGTCCCCCCCCCCCCAAAAAAAAAAAAAAAAAAAAACGGAAAGAAAGAAAACAAAACAATCTGCAGAAGCCTCTGCGCCCTTCCCAAGCTTGTAGTTTTCTAATTTTTGTCTTCTTTTTTTTAAAAAAAAGAAGGTGAAATTTACATAATATTAAAATAACCATCTTAAATTATACAATTCAGTGGCCTTTTAGTACATTCATGATGTTGTATTAACTGTTACCTCTAACTAGTTCCAAAATGTTTTCATCATCTCCAAAGAAAACTTTATATCCATTAAGCAGTCAGTCTCTGTACCCCCTTCCTCCCAGTGTCTGGCAGCTATCAGTTTGCTTTCTGTTTTTGTGGATTTACCTACTCTAGACCCTTCGTATAAATAGAATTGTACAATATATGCTCTTTTGTGACGGGCTTCTTTCACTTAGCATAATGTTTTTGAGGTTCCTCTGTGTTACAGAGGCCAAATAATCAACTTTATGGACATATCATATTTTGTTTATCCATCCATCTCTAGAAATATATTGGAGTTGTTTCTCCCTTTTCACTATTGTGAATAGTACTGTTTTGAACAAAATGTACAGTATTTGTTTGAATACCTGTATTCAGTTCTTTCATGTGCATTACCTAGGACAGTTGCTGGATCATGTAGTCTGTATTTGTAATTTGCATTTATAATCTAATATCTAATACACATAATATGTAAATGTGTGTAATTATATAATCTGAGTCATATTTCCTATATTTATATTTATAGTATATTCTGTGTTTAACTTTTTGAGGAAGCACCAGATTTTTCTACAGTGTCTTGTACCATTTACATTCCAAAAATGCACAGGGATTTAGTTTCTTCATCTCCTTACTAAACAGTCCTTGTGTGTATATGTGTGTGTGTGTTTGTGTGTGTTTAGTACTAGGGGTTGAACTCAGGGGCACTCAACCACTGAGCCAAATCCCACCCCTAGTTTGTATCTTATTTAGAGACAGGGTCTCACTGAGTTGCTTAGCACCTGGCTTTTGCTGAGGCTGGCTTTGAATTCTGTGATCCTCCTGCCTCAGCCTCCTGAACCGCTGGTATTAACAGGCATGCTCCACTGAGCCCGGCAGTTTATTTTTTATTTTGACAGGGTCTCTATAAGTTGCTGAGACTGGCTTTGAACTTGCAATCCTCCTGCCTCAGCCTTACGAGCCACTGGAATTACAGATGTGTAATACCATGCTCAGTTTTGTTTGTGTTGTTGGTTTTTTTTTTAAATATTTTTTTAGATGTTGATGGACCTTTATTTTATTCATTTACTTATGTGTGGTACTTAGAATCAAACCCAGTGTCTCACAAGTGTGAGGCAAGTGCTCTACTACTGAGGTACAACTCCAGCCCCTTTTGTTTGTGTTTTTAAGATTATCATTATTGCTGGGCAGAGTGGTACACACCTATAAGCCCAGCGGCTTGGGAGGTTGGGAAGAGGCAGGAGGATCTGGAGTTTAAAGCTAGCCTCAGCAACAGCAAGGCACCAAGCAACTCAGTGAGACCCTGTCTCTGAATAAAATATGAACTAAGGCTGGGGATGTGACTCAGTGGTTAAGTGCCCCTGAGTTCAATCACCGACCGCCGCCCCCCCCCCCCCCCCCCCCCCCCCCCCCCGCCACCAAAAAAAGATTATTATTACAGTCATCTCAGTGCGTGTGAAGTAGTGTCTCATCATGATTTTGATTTTTTCCCTAACAACTGTGTTATTAAGAATTTTTTCATGGCTTGTTGGCCATTTGTATAATCTTTGGAGGAATGTCTGTTCAAGTCCTTTACCCCCTTTTTAATAAGCTGTTTGTCTTTTTGTTGTTGAGTTGTAAGAGTTCTTTATATTTTCCAGATACTAGACTCTTGTCATATGAGTGGCAAGCATTTTTTCCTGTTCTGTAGGTTATTTTTGTCTTTGTCCATTCATCCCTCCCCTCTTTCCCTCCCTACTTCCTTCCTTTTCATTCCTTCTTTCCCTTCCCTTCCTGTCTCCCTCCCTCTTTCCCTTCTTCCCTCCTTCTTTTCCCTTTATTTTACCAGGGCCTCACATGTGCTAGACAAGCTCTATCACTGATCTACATTCCCAGCCCTATTTATTAATTTATTATTTATTTTTGGTATTGATGATTGAACCCAGGGGAGCTTAACCACTGAACCCCGTGTCCAGCCCTTTTTGTATTTTACTTAGAGACATGGTCTTGCTGAGCTGCTTAGTACCTTGCTAAGTTGCTGAACTCTGGACTCATGATCCTTCTGCCTCAGCCTCCCAAGCCACTGGAATTATAGGAGTGCGCCAGCATACCCAGCCTCAACCCTTTTTATTTTTGTTGTGAAACAGAGTCTTGCTAAGTTGATAGGCTGGCCTCAAACTTGGTATCCTTCTGCATCCTGAGTAGCTGGAATTATAGGCATGTGCCTTCACACCTGGCTGCCTTTTTACTTTCTTGATAGTGTAATTTCATGCTCAAAAGTTTTTCATTTTGATAAGTTCACTTTTTTTTTTTTTTTTTTTTTTTGCTTTTTGGTGTCATCTAAGAGTGCCAAATCCACGATAGTGAAGATTTAATCCTTTGTATTCTAGTTAGAGTTCTACAGTTTCAGCTCTTAGATTAATAGATTTTTAATGCGTTTTTGTATGTGGTGGATAGTGTGAGGTAGTTCACTCTTTTGCATGTGGACTTCCAGGTGTGCCAACACTATTTGCTGAATTATTCTAGTGAGTGCTCTGGCACCCCTTGTTGAAAGTCATTTGACCTTAGTGTTTGGGTTTGTCATTTAACTTCTTGATTCTGTTTCATTGGTCTATATATTTATCCTTTTACCACACTGTTTTGGTTATTGTAGTTTTGTGTAGTCGGTTTTGGAATTGGGAAATATGGAGTCTTAACTTGGCTAAAAATTTTTAATGTTGTCTTGGATGTTTGGAACGCCTTGCAATTCCATATAAATTTGAAGATTGACTTTTCCATTTCTCTAAAAGGGCTGCTGGAATTTTGAGAGAGATTTCGTCACACCTGGTCACTCTGAATATTGTCAGCCTGACAATGTTAAATCTTCCAATCCAGTAACAAGGGATGTCCTTGCATTTATTAGATCATTTTTTTAAATTAATGTTTTATAGTATGAAAACCTTTTATCTCCATGGTTACATTATTCCTAAGTATTTTATTCTTTTGGGAACTATAGTAAATGAATTTTTTTTATTTCCTTTTTGGGCTATTGGTTGTTGGTATACAGAAACGTAGCTGATTTTTTTTTAAACATTTATTTTTTAGTCATAGGTGGACATAATATCTTTATTTTATTTTTATGTGGTGCTGAGGATTGAACTCGGTGTCCCACACATGGTAGGCAAGTGCTCTACCTCTGAGCCTCAACCCCAGCCCCCCCCATGCATCTGATTTTTGTGCATTGATTATGCTAAACTTATTAACTCTAGAGGTTACTTTGGACATAATACCTTTATTCTATTTATTTATTTTTGTATGGTGCTAAGGATGAAACCCAGTGACTTAACATGCACTAGGCAAGCACTCTACCACTGAGCCACAATCCCAGTCCGGGTTTTTTTTTTTTTTTTTTTAATTAGGGTCCCAATATTTTGCCCAGGTCAGCGTTGAGCTCCTGGGCTCAAATGATCCTTTGGTGTCAGCCTCCTGAGTAGCTGGGACTTTAGGTCCAAGCCACTATGCCTGGCTATTCTGTAGATTCTTTGTGCTTTTTCTCTACATAGGATCACATTATCAGCAAAGTAAAGGTAATTTTCTTCTTTCCTTTTCCCTTTAGTACTTTTTATTCCATTTTGCACAGCAGTGGTAAAGACGGGCATCCTTGTCCTGATCCTGACCTTAGGGAGAAGCTTTCGGTCTTTCCTTATTGAGTGTGACGTCAGTCGTCAGCCGTGGGCTTTTCATAGATTCCTTTTATCACATTACGGAAGCTCCTTCTGTTCATAGCTTGCTGAGTATTTTTATCCTGAAAGGGAGTTGGATTGTCAGATGCTTTTCCTGTGTCGATTGGGATGATCACGTCATTATTTCAACGTACACTGAACCATCTTTTCATTCCTGGGATACATTTCACTTGGTCATGGGATATAAATGTACATATATATATATTTTAAAACAGATTCATTTTATTGGCCAGGTTGGCCTTGAACTCTTGCCTTAGTCTTCTGAATAGCTGGGGCTCTCGGTCTTCACCACCACACCAGGCATCTTTTTAATATGCTGTTGAATTTAGGATTTTGCTAGAGTTTGTACTTTATATAAATGGAGTAATTTATATCTACATTTGAGAGAATTTTATAAGTTAAAACCCACTCATGAGATACTTAAGACAGTGCTTGACACAGAGAGCACTGTGGTATCATGATTATTCATTGCTGTCTTCCTCCTCAGTTAGTGGATGGCCCCAGAAGAGGAAACAGTTCAGAAAAGGGAAATGATTTACTTACATCCAGCAGATATACCTCAGTCCACTGTGTCCTGCCTCTTCATGTGCCGTGGAAGTCAAGTGCCTGGCACACACTTCTTGCACAGTGGACTGATAATGAAGAGCATTCATTGAGTGTATGCAGTGTGCTGGGCTCTTGAGCTGGGTGTTTCATGGTTGCTGTCTCATCATTGAGATATAATGGACATGCCTTACAATTTAGCCTTCTGAAGGGGACAGTTCAGTATTCAGAGTTGTGCAACCAACACTACAGTCAATTGTAGAAGATTTTTTTTACACATCAAAAGATTCTGTCCCCATTGGCCATCACCTTCCAGTCTTCCCCTAGGCTCTGCATCCCAAGTGGACTCATATAGATACTCCTCAACATGGCAGGATTACATCGCGGTAAACCTATCATAAGTTAAAAATACATTTAATGCACCTAACTTACAGAGCACTGTAGCTTAGCAGTAAGGGATGGTAGTGTTGGTTGAGCACCTTTGTGATCATGTGGCTGACCAGGAGCCCAGTATCATATACTGTGTATAGGTATACTGTGTATAGGTAGCTTGGGAAAAGTTCAGAATCTCCCATTGAAGTGTGCTATGTACTGAAGGCATGTTGGCCTCATGCTGTCATAAAGTTGAACCATTGTAAAACACTGTCTGGAATTTGTGGTCCTTTGTGATCGACTTCTTTCACTTAGCCTAAGTATGGTTCATCCACTTCATAGCATGTATTAGAACTTCATTTCTTTTTATGGCCTACAAGCTTTCCATTTGGATCTACCAGGTTCTGTTGATAAACCACTCATTGGTTGATAAATATTTGGGCTGTTTCCACTTTGGGGTTGCTATGAGTGCTGCTGCTATGGATGCTCATGTGTGGGTTTTTATGTGGACATTTGTTTCACCATCTCATTTCACCCTTGGCAGCCCTCAAAGGAGCGGGTCCTTGTAGAAAGTGTTCAGGCAAGTGCATGTGGGTCCTGCCTCAGCCTCCTCCTGGCTCCCAGCTTCCAGAAAAGTGGAAGGGATTGCAGGTACTCGAAGGGTGTGGAAGCAGCTATAGCCCACCTGGCACAAAAGTATTTGGACATTTGATTCACCTACATGGCCATGCTGGTGAATTCAAGCCCATGGCATTTGGCCTTAACAGGGTCACAGGGCATGTGTGTTTAGAGGCCTGGGCCTCCCTTAGGATGGGACCATCTGGCAGGGATAGCTTGCTGTTGGCCACATTCTGAGGCAGCTGGTGTTCTGGGGCACTGTTACAGGCGCCTTCCTGCCAGGCATGACCCTGTGGATCACTCAGGACCAGTCTAGTGCCCCAGCCTGTGTCAGCAGGGGCCACCTTGAGGGCTCCCCTGGGAGAGGCACACTCGTTCACCCTCCTCCCACTGTGGTGCCCCTTGTGAATCACCCTCACACTGGGCTGCCCGCCTGCCTGACCGCCTGGGATACTGTTCAACCTTGTCCTGATCTCTCTCCTCTCCCGCCTCTTTCAGGTGAATACATCAAGACATGGAGGCCGCGGTACTTCCTTCTGAAGAGCGATGGCTCCTTCATTGGGTATAAGGAGAGGCCAGAGGCTCCTGACCAGACTTCACCCCCTTTAAACAACTTCTCTGTAGCAGGTGAGACTCAGGGCAAGTAGGCCAGCGTTGCAGAACTCAGAGAATGGCTGGCAGGTCTTAGGGACACATGGGTCTTGGTCATTCTTGAGCCAGAAGACTGTCTGGGCTTGTTTGCCCTCAGATCCATTTCCCATCCTTCTCCTGCTGTCCCTCCTTGTCAGCTGGGTGCTGTGGGGTCATCCTATGGGAGGTGGAGAATGAGAAGAGGGCGTAAGCAGGGCATTCATACACACCCTTCCCTGGGCCCCAGCTCCAGCTCCACCTGGCCCTGTGGTTCTAGCTGGAGTGCTGTCCTGCTCTGGTAACAGCCTCCTCCCTTCATCCCTCTCACCTAGAAGGGTCATGGCTTCCCACTCAGCTGGTCAGGGCTGACCTCATGTCCTTGGTTCCCTCTGTAGCACCTGAAATGGTGCTACAGAGTCAGCTTTGCAAACCAATTTCCTTGCCTTGTTCTTGTGGAACAGGGGACCCCCCCAACCCCCACCTCCTTCCTTCCCTGCTGACGTGATTTGTACTGTGTCCTTGTTGTACCTGCTAACAATGTTTCACAGGCAGCCCAGTCTCCTCGGCACCATCCTCTCAGGTCTCTCCTACAGCTTCCTCCCCAGCCCAACTCCTCCCTGGAGGCTCTCCTGCAACCCAGCCCTCCACTGTCTGTAGGAAGCTTTTTTCCTGGCTGCTTTCTCCATATGCTGGTGGCTTCTGCCTCGACTTCTTGCTTGTACTCCCAGCCTTTCCCCAGCAGCTTCCTGGACATTTCTCCCCAGGTATTCTCCAGGTTCCTCATACTCACCATGTTTCAAACTGACCTTCCCACCTCCCTTCTCCTTCCCTCTCTCAAACTTGTCATCTTCTTAGTCTCCTTAGGACAGCTCTGTTGTGCCTGGTGTTGGTCCCAAATGCCTCTCCCTCCTGCTACAACCTGCTCCCTTTCCTCCCCTGCCTGCCCCACTCTGCTGCAGCTCATCCCCTCCATCTGGGTCCTGCCACAGTCTCTTCCCTGGCTTCTGGCCTCCAGTCTCATCCTCCATGGCAGCCAGGGGATCTGTCTCAGTCTGTCCCTGTCCTTTCCATGGCTCCCTGCTGCCCTGAAGACAAAGTTGATATTCCTTACCATGGCCTCCAAAGCCCTGTCCAGCTGACTCTGGCCCACCTTTCCTAAGTGGCTGCTCTCTTTCCCCTGTCTAACACTTGGAGCAGAGTTGGCATCCCTGAGTATGTTGGGCGCCTCTTAACCGCTGGGCTTCTCTGTACATGACATCCCCGCTGACTCAGTTTTCTTTGCCGTCAGGCCTCAAGTCAGAGATGCCCCTTCCTCAGGGTTAGATGCTGCAGCTGGGTTGGATGCTGCCTCTGGCTGTCTCTGTCCCAACCCGACTGCTAAGTTGTTACCATCTGGTGGTCTGCCCTGAGGGCAAGGCCAGAGCTGTCTTGATCTCTGATGGGTCCCCAGCACCATCTGACATGGGACTTGACACAAAGGTGGCTCAGGGAATATGGGCTGCAGGCCAACAGGGTCATCCCCTCACTGTCCCAATCCTCCTCCCCTGCCTGCAGAATGTCAGCTGATGAAGACCGAGAGGCCAAGGCCCAACACCTTCGTCATTCGCTGTCTGCAGTGGACCACTGTCATTGAGAGGACCTTCCATGTGGACTCTCCAGATGAGAGGTGAGTGTGAGCCTCCATGTGGCTGCCCTTTGAGAATGGTCAAGCTTGGTGCGAGGGGAAGAGGCACAATGGACAGATTCCCCTGGGCCCAGCTGAGGAATTCCCAGTTTTCCACACTTCTGGTGTGAAGTCTTCTACCTGGAACTGAGAAGAACTGGAAGTTTTGGTGTGAAAATTTCACTCTGTCCTTGGACTTGTAGGCACATCAGAGTCACTGATGACAGTGACTTGTTAGAAAGAGCTTGTTAATGACAGACTTTAGGCCTGACCACTATGGAGGGTCAGCAGACTGTTCCTAGTGAGCATCTTTGTTGATTCCAAAGTAGGTCTAGAAAGTCACTTTAAAAGTTCAGTTTAATAATCAGAAGAAATTATGTAGATTCATCTGGTTCAAAAGTCAGGCTGAGAGTGGGGAACCAAGGCACATATCTATAATCCCAGCAACTCAGGAGGGTGAGGCAGGAGGATTGCAAGTTCAAGGCCAGCTTCAGCAATTTAGCAAGTTTTTGTCTCAAAATAAAAAATAAAAAGAGCTGGGGTAAACCAATCCCAGTACCCTGGGTTCAATCCCAGTACCAAAAAGAGGAAGAAGAAATAAAGGCAAGCTGGGGCTTAGCTCAGAGCTAGAATGTTTGCCTAGCTAGCATTCTCGAGGTCCTGGGTTCCATCTTCAACTCCACAACAACACCACAAACAAACAAACAAACTGCCTTCCCCCGTCCTTGCCATATGGAATAAGGAGGTGTCTGGTGAAAGTTTCACTGTTACCCGTTCCCCTTCCCTCTGTTCTCCATCCCCCAGATAACTACTTCTGTGTGCTTGAAGAGCAGATGGAGGCCTTGGCTCCTGGGCCCTAGAAGGCAGCACTGCACCCATGCTGTTCTGAACTTGCCTTTTGCACTTCACTGAGTATCTTGTGGACTCTTTCCGTCTCGTCTCGTATAGAGAGCTGCTGCCCCACCACAGTGTTTTTTTGCTTCTCTTTTTAACAGCTGGACATGTGCATCCCTGTTTAACTAGCAGTTCTTTGTTAATGGTGACTGGGGTTGTGTCCAGCCTTTGGCTCACTATAAGCAATGCCACAGTGAAATGTGTGCTGTCTCATTTCTCATGTGTGCAGGTCAGCCTGTATAAGGAATTCTTAGTGTAGGATTGCTGGGTCACAAGAATGTATACTTGTCTTTTTTTTTTTTTTTTTTTTTAATGGTACTTGGGATTGAACCTGGGTCACTCTACCATTGAGCCACATTCCCAGCCCTTTTCAGCAGCTTGCAAGTTGGGAAGCTGGTCTTGAATCTGTGATCGCCTCTTGAGTCACTGTGTTCAGCTTGCAAGTGTTGTTTTCAGAAATAGTTCTATGAGGTGATGTTTGAGTGTCTTCAAGGCCTTGTGTTTTCAAACATTTGGGTTTTTATCAGTCTGAGTAGTGGGAAATAGCACTTCAGGGTTTCTCTCTCTCTGGTTGAGTTTGAGCCTCAAGGGCCATGTGAATTTCCTTTTCTGAACTATCTGTTTATATCTTTTTTCTATTGAGTAAGTTGGTGTTTTTCTTATTTATATCTGAAGGTTCTTTGTATATTAGAAAACTCATTCCTTTTATAACGAGTGGCAAAGTTCTTCCTCCCACTTCATCCTTTTGGACATCACTTTGAGAAACACGTCTAGCTTGCCTGTGGGGTAGGGCTTCTGCTGACCCTCTGGAGAAGCCTAAACAGGGCCATGCAAGAGAGCTTCCTGCTGTGATGGAAATGTTAAGTGTGACAACTGAAGAGTGGAAATTTGATCTTAATTGCCTTTAATCAATTCCAGTAGCCACTCATGGCTAGTGGTACCCTCTTGGACAGTGCAGTTCTAGAGCCTGCACAAAATAATATCACAAGATGTTACCACAGTCTATTCTGTAATTATTGTTGCATATCTCCCCAAGGTTAAAAATATACTTACCCCACCAAGGGGAACAGAATTACCATTTCAGGCCAGCTTAGTTGTTACTCAGTTGAAAACTGGGGACCAAAATATAGGCTGTCAGTGAGAGCAAATCTGACAAATAGATGCTTAGGACCTGGGTGTTGGGCTGAGTTGTTTTTTGCTTGTTTGTTTGTTTGTTTGTTATGTTTCTCTTTTTTTGGTAGGAGGGGGGCTGAGTTTTGAAGGATGGATAGGAGGTGGGAATTAGAAAGGTCCAGGAAAAGGACTGATCAGCATATACTGAGGCCTGGAAGTGAAACAGCTTGTGTGTCCCAGGGACCACAGAGAGTTCTGTGTCACCAGGGAATCCACCAGCGGAAGTCTTGGAAGAGAGGAAGTGGAGGCGCTTGAAGCTGGAGGGCCCAGCCAGGGCCTTGGCCCCTAGATGGAGATCCCTGCAGAGCTTGGCTGGCATTTAATAAATTGGGGTTTGTCACAGGGTTGTTAAGAGATTCAGGGGATGATAAACAGGAAGCTCTTGATTCAGCAGTACCTGGCACACAACTTGCAAGCCTGGAAAAGGAGCAGCAGGGAGCCAGCAGTGGTTTAGTAGGCAAGAGAGATGATCTAGTTTCCATTCTCACAAGGTGACACACCCTTCAGTGTGGTATGACTCCCATTACTAAGACTGTGGGAGCTGGATGGAGCATTTTTCCTTTTCTTAGGAACTTCTGCTGCCTTTGGAGAGAGAACCGCTGGGTTGGATCCAGAGAGACCAAACCCCAGATTCCTGCCCTTAGCCCTGGGGGCGTTGTGAGCCAGAAACCCAGCAAGAGGGAGGCCACTCTGTTCTGCTTATGGCTGGCCATGCTTTCCTTGCTGCTCTGCCCCACATAGGCCTGAGGTCACTGGTTGCCCTGAGTCTGGAGAGAGATGGGGTGGCAGGGGAGACAAGAAGCACGCCGGTAGCTGAACATGGCTTGGACACTGCAGCACCTTCCTTACTGGGAACCTAGTTGCCTCTCCTGCCTTCCCCAGGAAGCTGGGGACCCTCCTCGCACCCCACCCTGCTGGCAGCTTGTTTCAGATGCAGAAAAGTTGAAAGAATAGTATCACTATGTGAACCTGTAGGTACCTGCACCTGGGTGCAGTATTTCTGCTGTATTTACCTCATCGGGCTATTTTTACTGAATCTTTTGTTATTTTCCTGATTATTTTGTGCTTCTGTTTATACTTCATGACACTGTTCCTTACCACTGAAGACAGGCATCTGCCACGAATAAGGACTTTCCCTCACAAGATCATGATATCCTCACACCTGAGATGAGTATACAGGTTGAGCCTCTTGATCTGGAAATCTGAAATCCGAAATGCTCCATCATTGGAAACTTTATCTACCAATATGATACTCAAAGTTTCAGATTTTGGAACATTTTTTATTTTCCTGTCAGAAATGCTCATAAGGGCTATGCAAAAATCCCCAAATCCAAAAAAAATTCCAAGGTTAGATATAATGCGTTTGAATGAGGGATACTCACCTATAACATGTGTTTACTGCTCCCCTCTCCTTATCTGTGCCATACTCGAATTTCCCCAGTTACCTCCAAAAATGTTTCTTCAACAAGGATTCCTTTAGGTTCCTGCTGTCTCTTTGGCCTCTTTTAATCTACTTTAGCCCTCTGTCCCCCTGCCCTCCAAGAACTGATAGCCTTGACCAGCCAGGCTGACTGTCTTGTTGTAGAAAGACCGAATGTGTCCCTTACTGCCTTTTGACATTGTTTGCTTTGTTCCCTGTGGGTGTATTTCCTATAAAGTAGAAGTTAGGTCCTCAGTAGGGTTGGCCCACTATAGCCCTGCCTCCTGTTGGTAAGGAAGGTTCTGTTGGAACATGGCCATGTGCATTTGTATATGGCTGCTCTATGGCTGCTTTTGCCCTGCTGTGGCACAGTTTAATAGTTGTGTCAGAGCTGGTGGCCTGCAGAGCCTGGAGATTTGCTACTTGGCTCTACAGAATGTTTGCAGACCCTTAGCCTTGACAGAAGTGCTTAATAGTGTGTATCCAATACACTTTTTTTTTTCTTATATAAAAAAAAAAGTTTTTAGTTGTAGGTGGACACAATGCCTTTATTTATTTTTACATGGTGCTGAGGATTGAACCCAGTACCTTATCTATGCTAGGCAAGCACACAACCACTGAGCCACAACCCCAGCCCCAGCCCCTGGACTCTCTTTTTAAAATATATTTTTATAACTTTATTTATTTTTGTATGTAGTGTTGAGGATCAAACCCAGTGCCTCACACGTGCTACACAAGTGCTCTACCACTGAGCTACAACCTCAGCCCCTATGTGATCTTTTTGATGTAATTTCTCTGCTCAGGAATCTGAATGGCTGTTAGTCCTTCTTGGAGTGAATTCCAGGGTTTGTGCCATGTTCTACAAGGCCCTGCCCCTCTCCAGACTTATTTCTTGCCACTGGAGCCCACACTCAGTCATGCTGGTCTGCTTGCTGTTCCTTAAACTTGCAAAATACACTCTTGGGTGGGTGCCTTAGCACCTGCTGCTGCCTTGCCTAGGACCCCCTTGCTCAGATATCGTGGCTATTTTTTTAACTTCACAAGTTCTCTATTCAAATGCCACCTTCTCAGAGTATCCTATCCTGCCTCCTCGTGAATGTTTCCCTTACCCAGCTTTATTTTTCTTTATAGAACCTGTCTACTAAGTGTGGCATTTTATATTTATTTATTTGTGCCCAGCATATAAATAGGTATTCAGTAAATGTTTGTTGGATGAATACAAGAATAATTAAAACTAATTCTCTTGAGCCAGATCCTGTTGTAAGGACTGTACATATCAACTTTGTCCTCCCAGCTGATGTTGTCTATGAGAAGGGAGGGAACCTAATACCGTCCAGCCATAAAATGTCCCTTGGGGATAGAGGAGGCCATGCATAGGGTGAAGCGCAGAGGCCCACTCTCAGACCAACAGTTAGCTCTTACTCCTGAAGTAGGAAGGACAGCCCGGCCACCTCTGCCTCCTTGAGCTTCCCTCTGTGGCACGTTGGGTCCTGCTCAGCAGGACAACCCAGGGCAG